CGCAGCTGAATTTTCAGCATCATTACTCCAGTCTTGTGTCACATGATCTTCAGAAATCATAATAATATGCTGATTTGCTGCTCGAGAAACATTTCTGATTATTATCAATGTTGAAAACAGTTGTGCTGCACAATATTTTTGAGATACAATTCATTTTCTAGGATTCTTTGATGAATAGAATGTTCAAAAGAACAACATTTATTTGATATAGAAACATTTTAAATGCCTTTACGGTCACTTTTGATCAATTTAATGCATCCTTGCTGAATACAATTATGCATTTCTAAAAAAAAATTTAAAAACTACCGACCCCAAACTTTTTAACATTACTCTGTATAATGCAATGTTTGCGTTACAAGACCAATAAACAACACCAGGAATATAGCGAGAGCTTGCATATTTATTCAACTACAGCTTAAGTTGCAAAATACCATGATATATACCTGTGCATCCTTATAAAGATGACAAGGCTAGACTTCATGTTTTGTACACCAATCATACACAGTTATTACAGAATAATTCAACACACTACAAACTATTCACTGGCTATTTACAACACAGTTGGCATATCTAATCTATGAGAAGAAACTGTGAGGAAGAGTAACAAAAGGAAGCGCAGAGAGCATGCGATCAATAAGCACTAAAGGAGAGACTAGAGCAAGCTGGGAAGGTCCCCACTGTGTGAAAGACTAAGAAACTAACGTGGGCTTTCCAGTCGGACTTCGAATTAGGATTCTTAAACGTATGTGAACTGGAAGCAAAGACAAAACTGCAAATACCGAGTGCTACTTAAATGAATAAATATAAAACTTTGGGTTCTCATCCTAAAATCCAGGAAACTCATGTACAAAACCTGCTGCGTTGGTTTTACTGCTACATGTTTTGCCTTTGAAAACACATCGAAGGACCGCGTGCGCTAAACGGATGAGCGTTTTTGTCCTTGTTAGACTGCTGCAGGATGATAAATCTGACCTCAGCTGCCCTGTGTATGTACACTATATAGACCACCGTCACCCAGCTCCGTGTTTCACTCTGATTTGAACACGTCTTTGATGCATTCGAAGTTCGTTGCTAAACAAAACCTTGAAATCGGCTGCATAAAGTACCCCGTCCTGTAAGTATGAGAGGTTTTCTGCCAGAAGTGACTATAGTGCCAGGAACTGTAACTACTCCTCGAATTAAACCTTTACATTAAAGGGTAAATAGTGTTAAGAATTGCAGTTTTGTGATTGCTCCGACGGTCTCTAGTTTCAGAATTTTGCAAATAATCATCTCCGAGTAAAAAACAAAACAAAACGCCAACTCTTCGGCAAATCTGTTTTTCTGTCCAATGAGAAAGCCACACAGAAACAGCGAGGGGGAATAAAGTCGGTCCGATCCGAGTTACGACAACAAAGAACCAACACCTCTTCCAAACATGAAAATATAAAATAAACCCATCTGAGCTTCCTTACCAAGGAGCAGATTAAAGTCCAAAATAGCACCATTTATCAGTGTCTCAAATCCGTGGCAGCATCTCAGTCACTTACCACAAGGAAACAATGCATCTCTACAGCTATTTCTATATCACAACGTACATGATTACACTTTAATATACTGGCAAAGCAACAAAAAAAGTTAAAAAGCAAAACTTAACAAGCAAATTCTAAAATTGATCAGTGAAATCCGTGGCAGCATCTCAGTCACTTACCACAAGGAAACAATGCATCTCTACAGCTATTTCTATATCACAACGTACATGATTACACTTTAATATACTGGCAAAGCAACAAAAAAAGTTAAAAAGCAAAAAAAACCAAGCAAATTCTAAACAAAAAAGATGAACTCTGTAGCTTTTTTTAGTAACTGCATGAGAAGTGGGGACTCTTAGCCTTAGTAAATACTGTAAGGTGTTAGTACTGACTGACGCTGACATGGTTTAGTGATGAAGACGTATGGATGGATCTGAGAGGGACGTCAAAGTGTTTCTGTGTGTGTGATTTTTTGTAGTGAGAGACTTATATATTTGGCGATAATGTCAAAATGGCATTGGGCCGGTTAACAGAAGTGCTAGTTTTGATTTCAAATACTAATTTTGAGAGAATTTTAAATAAAACAGTTGCAAAAAATAAAAAAAGTTTAAATGTAGCAATTCTGTATACATCTCATTTGCTGTCTTTCATAAATTTGTATTAGGGTTCCCACAGAATTGATGTAATAATTACTTTAGTGCAATTGATCAATTTCAAAAATCATGTTATGGAACAATTTCTAGATGATTAAATAATTGAGAGCAGTGCATAACTCAAAAACAGAAATCATATTCACGTTCCATGACTTTTATACGATTTTAGACATTGTCGTGCATTTTCCAGATCTATAAATCACAATTTTAGGATGCACTGATATTTGAGCATGCACTGCATTACAAAAAATAAAAATAAAAATTGAAGTTGCAATAAAACAAAGATTATCTGAGTATGTTTTACAAGAATATACTTTTTCGGGCTTTCTACTTAAATATTTCACAAAAAAAGTGTGGTGTGGTGTGTGTGTTTGTTTGTGGTGTGTGTGTGTGTGTGGTGTGTGTGTTTGTTTGTGGTGTGTGTGTGTGTGTGTGTGTGTGTTTTTATGGTGTGTTCGGTGTGTGTTTATGGTGTGTGTGCGTGTGTTTATGGTGTGTTCGGTGTGTGTGTTTATGGTGTGTGTGTGCGTGTGTTTATGGTGTGTTTGGTGTGGGTTTATGGT